AAAATTTTTTCTGAAAAGAAAGATTTCATTAACAATAATTTCATTTATATAAATAATTGGTGTATCAGCACGAAATTCAATTCAATGTATATTTGCGTTTTGTGTAATTGTATAAGTGTAAAAAAAATATTTTCCTCTAAAAATAACTATTTTCAACCTTTATAAATTTTTATTCTTTCAACAAAATATAAAAAAGAAATCCCACCGCTGCCACCATTAATGTTATGTTTGAATTCGATTGTTTATGATTTAATTATTATTAATTTGAAAGATTTTATAATTTAATCGAATTCGGACTTAACTGTATTAAAAAGAATTTTTAATAGTCTTAAATCAATAAAACACTCAGTATTTTATAGTAAGAAATGGATGTTAAATTTAATTCAAAATAAATACTGTTATTAAAAACTTAGGATCCCCCCTTTAAGTACGTTATTAGTTCAACGTCTCCGATTAGACGGTATATTTAGTTGAAAGAAAAAAAGGAAAAGGTGGCAATAGTAAGGTAGAATTTCAATAAAGACACTGAGTAATATGTGTAATATGATGTTACAGGAGTCTATTTATTTAGTACGTTTAAAAAGATTAATGTTAATTTTATTACAATTGATATTGTCTTATTATTATTACAATGTGTACCCTTTTTAAATTATGATAATTATGTCTTAAAAAAACATACCCTTTATAAGATTACATTTGATAAAATAAAGTCCAATACTTAGAATTGTGACAATAGATATTTTTCACTTTTAATTCTATTTATCTCTAATAACTTCTTTAATATTTCCTTTATCTTTATATTTTCAAATAAATCACTTTGTTTCAATTATAATCTTCTACAATCAAATTTAAATAATTATTATTTCACTCAATACTATATATTTTCACAATAGTAATCAATTAAATTCAATTAATTCAAATTATATAAAATCAACCCTTAAACTTTGGGAAATAAAATACAAAAACCTCCGCCTTTTTTCGGGAATAAATCACAAAATATAAAAAAATTGGTAACGTCCGCTCTGCGGGAAATACTCATTAAGACTCTTTGATTAATTAGCGTGGACAATCGGTCACACCCTGGAAAATCGACTTAAATCGGAAAAGTGGGAGAATCCGTTGCACACGGCCCACCAAACCTTGCTGTTGCCAAGCAAGCTTTTAGCAAACTTGCAAATTCCTCAAGAATGTCATGACATGGTTTGATACTTTATATCCTGTTTCGCCAATATGTATTCAATTTAGGTATTCTCCACAATATTATTTAAAAAAAGGAAACTCTTTCCTTTAGAGAAATGTCTTTTTAATTTAAGAAAGTCGATAAATTCCCAAGGGTTGTAGAAGATTTCCATACTTGATAACATTTATTTTGTATTTCCCAATCACCCAATCTTTAGGTAAAAACCATTAAAAAAATATTTAATTTCGAATTTTCTCAAATTCAGATATAATAAATAAAAAATTTGATAAATCTAAGTAATCAATTGATGAGAGAATCATATAAAGGATTCTTTTTACCCTTTTTTATGTGTATGTGTTACTTAATTTAAATTAACAAGTTTACCCATTTATTAGATTCTATATAATCTTAATAAAATTTAAAAAAAAATTAAAGTAGTTGCGTTTTGAACGTAACAGTTATGTTACAAACCAGAATTTATTTATTAAATTAAATATCGAGCTTTTGAGATGGCTCTAAAATTCTATTTTGGGGAGGCACCAAGCTGCCGAATTCCGTGGGGAAATCGTTTAAATTGTGGATCCGTTTTCCACTTTTAAAAGTTACCACTGCTTCTAAAGATGTGTTTGTTTGAGGAGTAAAGGTAAATAAAGAGAAAATTAATTAAGGAAATTAAAGAGGTTTATTTGTGTGGTGAAAGAAAATTTAGAACGATACATCTACTTACTCTACCGGCGACAGTGGTGTCACAATCAGCTGCCGTCGGGCGAAACAAACTTCTGTTGGTGTTGGCACACAACACGATTTTTTTTTCTTTAGTCTTTTGTTCAAGTAAATAAATTTGAACTTTAGCGTTTTCTTTAGTATTCAAAAAAAAACTAAAAAAAAAAATTATTTTAAAACAACAATTTTTTTTTTTTATCAAAGCCGTTGTATCGGAACGGCGCAGGCGCCACACGCACGGGCTGGCCGGTTTTCACATAAACAAAAATCTGCTATAATTAATTTAATAATGACAGCCGATTTTCATCCGACACAATTCTCGATGGACTCCGTCGGTTAGAAGAATTTAATTTAATTTTTCGTCCGCCTTTCGCGTTATACTTAAAAAGTTTTACACGGGGGTCCGACTCGCAGACGGGCTAAGTCGCGGCGTTCTTGTTTCTCGCAACACTTGCCAAGCTGAAGCCAGGAGAGGTGTTGCTCGAGAGAAGCAAGAAGTAGTACTGCGTTAATTAAAAGATTTTGACTAGCCTCTAGTCCTTGTTTTACCTCCAGAGTGGGACAATTTTGCAAACGAGGAAATTTTAATTTTTTAGGAGTAGGAAGGAATTCGCGGCCCATTGGACGCTGCAATTTTTCGCTGACTCTAGCATGCATAGACAGACTCGTGTGAACGGAAACGACTGTCATTTGATATTTTTTTTGAAAATAACTCCTTATAATTAATGAAAATTAATTTCATCATTTTATTAATTACAACAATTCCCAATTGTGATGGCTGTTTAAATTAATTAACAACCATACAACTGTGTGAATTGCTAATGAAATTGGTGGAGTTGTTTAGTTGTATGTAATTTCCGATCACAAGTTGATTGATTAGTGATGCGTAAAATCAACCAATTGTAGTGGTTGAGCACCCCTGTTGTAGGATCAAGCTGTCAAAACGCACGTGCGTTTGTTATTATATTGCAGCGTAGCTTGTGGGCCTGAGGGAAAAGGGGAGGGTTTTTATCAGAGGAAAACAGCGAGTAGAGGCGAGCATGGAGCATGTGTTGGTGTGCGCGGCTGCAAGTTCGTATGTCGTTGTGAATCCTATAACGAACGGAGTCCGTGAGAGCATCGGTGTATACTATATGCCGAGAAATCCGTGCATGTGTGCGTTATTATAATCATTCAACCACATGTGCACGTGTTTGTGACAGATATTATTTTGGTTTTATTTCCTCTTTCCCCTTTTTTTTTTTAGATGCATATTCCATAATTTCGATGTTGTATTTCATCAATTCCGATGTTGTTACAATGTTGGTTATCGCCATTTTGGCTTCGCAACATTGTCGCAACATTCCATAATTTCGATGTTGTTACAATGTTGGTTATCGCCATTTTGGCTTCGCAACATTGTCGCAACATTCCATAATTTTGATGTTGTATTTCATCAATTCCGATGTTGTTACAATGTTGGTTATCGCCATTTTGGCTTCGCAACATTGTCGCAACATTCCATAATTTCGATGTTGTTACAATGTTGGTTATCGCCATTTTGGCTTCGCAACATTGTCGCAACATTCCATAATTTTGATGTTTTATTTCATCAATTCAAATTCTGCAAAATAATTAAATTTTTGAGACAAAATTGAGAATTTTATTAATTTCATTTTTGTTTAGTGCTAGTGCGCGCTTAAGAGTGTAAGCACTTTTGCTGACAAGTCCGGCTTATCGGAGTGTCATATTTCAGCCTCGAAGCTTGCTACTTGGTGGCAAGTCTTAGGCTAGAAAGAATACTCCGAAGAAAACATTGGGCGTTGTTGCCATATATTAAATATTTTAATGTGTAACAATCCACCGCGAAATTCCGTTTTGGTCCCCAAAACAATAGTTTTTACTTAGTTTAGATAATAAACAATTTCAATAATTTTGTTGAATGGAATCGGCCTGTATACCCAGAGAAAAGTCATTTATTTTAGCATTTTAGCATTTTTATAGTAGAACAATAGATATTTTGCTTTCAATGGTTTACAGCGCATCTGGGTACAAGTTTTATTACAATCTCAAATTGCGTACTTAAAAATTTTTTCTTATAACTAGTTAGTGTAATAATTAACACATATCGAAAGGTGTTACAAAATATAGCCGTGATTGAGAACACAAAACGTCCAATGAAAATATAACTAAAATCCGGTTTTCATTTTAAATTTTCTGCACAATAAAATAGTTTTCTCGAAATTTCCTTTTCGTGTTGCAAAATTTATTATCATTATATTTTTTTTTTTTATTAAAATTAAAGTTAGAATTTCAAAAAAAGATATGAAGGTTAATTTTCTTCCAACGAAATTTCGAGAGTGTTTTCTTCGTAACGTCAATCGACATGCATTATTACGGTCACCGTTTTTCCTTTCTTGGTTTGTTTTAACTTTCCATCTAATTACTATTTATTTTAGTAATTATTATTAAATTAAGATTATCGGGTCTGTACAAGACAATTACATTAATTAATTCCATATTACCCATTACATAGTCAGTTACCATAAATAAGATCTACTGTAATCAGCAAATTACCTTATATTCGATAACACTGTTAAAATGTTCTGAATTTCCTTATAAATTCAGAAATTCAACAAAAAAATAAAATTTTTTTTTTTTGTGGTACCGAAAACATTTATAAGTTACGTTTAATTTTACTATACGATTCTTACGATCTTTAAATGTTATTCAAAATTCCAACTATATTTCCAACAGTGTAGCACACAAATCAAACGGAGCTGATGACCAATTAGAGTCGAATTTCAGCTGAGTTTGGCTATCTGCTTAAAAACAATTTGAGCTCTCAAAAGAAGTTCCTGTGGGTTAAAATTTTTTTTTTTTTTAATTTAAATTCATTTCAATTCTACTAGAATGTTACTAACAACTTTTGAAAATAATTAATTTCTTTTAGGGAATTTATTTTTTTAATTTAACGCAAATTTATATTATTCCAGAATTTTATATAACAAAATTTTCTTAAATGATTCAAGTTTTGCCAGAAACTTCATTAAAAAAAAATTTTTTTAAGAGACTTTTGAACTTAAAGGACGAAAATAAAAAGTTATTTGTTGTTTTCGAATAATTTTAAGTTATTAAAGAATTGGTAAATAAAGGAATTAGTAACGAATTCAACCTTAATGCTCATACTGTAATTACTGCTGTAGCTTTTGTTTGATATGACAACCCAGCATGATACATGGAGATGCGTCACACAACTGTACCCTTTGTGTCGCGGAGCGTGGTAGTTTAGTCTTATTGTCGGTACCGTTGAGCTACGACGTTGCTCCTTTTCATTTAAATCTTTCCTCCTGTTTATACGCGAGTGCGCCCAGTGGTTGACGGTGGTACAGTGCAAGTGAAAAAAAAGGGTGGCGTGTGGTCGCAGGATTTTTCCTTGTTTCTCAGTTTGTTATTCTTTTTTTTTTACAATTTATTTTTTCTATGTCTCTGCCGGAAGTGAGTGAGTGTGATGGAAGGGAGCTATATGGATGTATGGCTTTTTCCGATTCCGAATCCGAACCCGTGGACTGGGAAGATTTTCAAGATTCCCTTTGGCGGGTAGGAGAAATTTTCCGGCTTAATCCCGGGGAACAACGTAGGGCTAGGAGAGGCGCCCTTTTCAAGATACTCTTCGAGGGGATTCGTGACGTAAGTGCCACCAAAAGGGAAACCGACCAGGATGAACCTCCCGCCCTTATTTCGACTGAAGAACTCCGTCAGCAACAAGAAAGGGCTCACAGGGGCCCTTCACTGGAGGCGGTTGTCGAGTTATTAAAGTTTGATGCTGCTCTTCAGTCTTTTCGAATTTTAGCGGAACTGGATTCATCTCGCGGGTAAGTCAAAATAATTATTGAAATTCTAAATATTGCTCACTCTCCAAACCCGAATCAGTCAAAAATCAACCAATCGAACTAGCAAACCAAAATCTTACTAATGAATTAGTTAATTTCAGAAGTTTCACTAACAAAATAGTAAAATTAGTAACATTCGGTTATTACTAATTTAAATTAGTAAAAATATTTACTAATTCATTTAGCAATTTGTCGTTAGTTACCAATTGAACCAGTTAGTTAGATATAACCTCTATTTCTATGACAAAATATGTATATTTGTATAGCGGCAGAACAGCAGTTATAATTTTTTTTTTTGATTTGTTAAATTTTCTGTACAAAATATTACAGAAGAAGTGAAGAAAATGTGTTAAGAAAAGAGTTGTTAGTTAGGAAGTGTTATATTTCTACCTGTTTTTAAGTTGGAAAAACTATGATTGACTAAAATATTAATATTCATTTATTATGTTTTTCGTATCATGTGATATTACTTTACTTTATTCTGCTTAAAATAGTTTATCAACTATTTGGGCATACTACTATTACATTTGTTATACTGAGCATGAAAACGTTTATTATTTTTTATTATCTCTACGTTTCAAAAAAAAAAATCATTCATAGAATGATTTTTAATATTATTATTCCAAAACTAAATGTACGCAAATTGTACGAAAATATTTGCCAAAATTAATAAATTGCAATATCAATTTAGACTATAATAAAATCTCAATTCATTCACAAAAATAAACTGAAGTAATTTATAATAAAAAGGAACATGAAGATATTGATAACTTTCAACAATTTTCGAGAAAAAAAAGTTCCTTGACAATTTTTTTTTAAATTCATTTCTTTACAATATTCAGTTTTACGAAGTTTAAAATATTTGTAAATTCTTCAATTAAATATGTATTAGAAATAAATACTAATACTTTTGATATTCGATTATAATCCAAAATTTCAACTGAAATCCACCTTCAAATGAATTCCCATGAGAAAATTCCACGAGGATTTCATTATTCAAATACAAAAAAAAACAATTTCCCGAAAATCTATTGAATAATTACATATGTCTCTTAAAATTGAATTTCCTTTAAAGAACTGCATCAATCAATTTTTTTAAACAATTTGAATCCTTCTGCAAAATTTTATTAAAATAGTAGATATTAAAAATAATTAACTTGGACAAAATTTTTTTTTTAGAAAATAATTGAAATTTTGCCAAGAAATTTATAAAAATTTCTTTTTGAATAATCCAATTTTAGAGAAGAATTTTACTATTTGTAAGATAATTGATAATTTACGCAAAGAAGTGCATTAGAAGTTTTGAATGGAATAATGTCATTCTTTAAAGAAATTCAACTAAAAATTTATTAAAAACAGCATTTAAATTTTAATAAATAAATTGTAGGAAAGGTTCTTAAAATAATTAAATTTCTTGATAAATTTTAATAAAAAAAAATTTTTTTTTTAAAATAATTACATTTTTCGAGGAATTCGATTAAAATTGTATTAAAATAGTTAAAATTCTGCAATTAGCTTTATTATTTATAATTGAATTCCTAACAAGAATCTCACTATCTGACAAAACTAAATTCCTGCAAAAATTCCATCATTCATGAAGACAGCTGAATATTGCGAAGAAATTCATAGAAAATTTGGAAATAATGAAATTCCTGTAAAATTTTTTTTATTATTATTACCTTTGGATTTATTCAAATTTATACTTTTTCGTGAACAAGGGGAAATTATTTATAATAAAAAAAAATAATAACAAGTTAACAAAATATATTTCAATTTTAATTGTTTACTCTAATAAATGTTATTATTAAACAAATAAATAATAAAATGTTCCAGAGCAAATTTGTTAAAATTAATATATAAAAATTAAAAATAATTATTAGAACAATAATCATTTCTTCCTATGCAAAATTATGAAACATTATAATTATTATATTATTATATATTACATTATATTATAAACATAATATAAAATCGAGAGATCTGTCCTTGTGTGAAATTAGTATATATATATTTTTTTTTTTTTTAATTTTTATATACAATATATATACTCCAAACTGTTATGTCAGAGTTCTACGGTGAATTTGTAGTAATAAAATAAGTGAAAGAAGAAAATTCAATACATAAATCTCAAAAACTCTATAAACGGGTACACATATACAATTTAAAATAAATTATGTTATGAATTATTTAATTTTGTATCTATTTGAAAACTGTTTCACATTGAAAGTATTTCAGAATTTTAAGCATATAAAGAAAATGAGTATTGAAATCCTTATTTCACGAAATGATCTAAATTTGAAAGGTAATTTGAAATTTCTGAAATAGAATGGGCTTTTCAAAATATAGCTATCAACATTTTTTAGAGTACTTGAATTCCCTAAACATTTTCTGAGAATTGAAACAATTTGAAATTTAGTAAAATTTTTATATTTTAAAGAATTTTATCTTGTCGTATCGTTAAAACATAAATATAATTTATATTTTTCAAAATAGGTATATTATTCTACAGATTTGCAAGAAAACAATTTAATTCCCGCTGTTGAATTCTGATAAGAATTGATTTAATTTAATTTAATTTTTAATTTAAATTTTAATATCAAAATATAAAAAAATAACTATATATTTTTCTTATTGCCACCATTGTTACAAACCAGAATTAATTTTATTTAATAATACCGAGCTATTTTCATAAATAATGTCAATTTCTGGGAGGACTCAACCGTTCCGCAAATAGAAAGTTCCCTCACAAATACAACTAATATCCATACAATTTTAATAAGATTGAAAAAAAATATGATTGAAAGGAAAATTAAACGCGCCGCGTAGAAAATAGTTTCGGTAGAGTGTATTCAAGCTGAAGAACGATAATCTTATCGCGGTGTTGGATTTCCATAACCGAGCTTGCTACATTGTACGAGTATGCCTGGTTGAACGAGTTGATTTTTTTTTCTGGGGAATAGATTTTATAATAAATTAAGTATGCTGAGCATACTTAGATCATGATTTCAGGCATCACAGTACCTTTTATCCTCAAAAGGGGGCAAAAATATACTAAACAACAAATTAAAATGAGTTAAATTCTTATTCGATTTTTAGAAATTTCCAAAAATTTAATTTGAAGTACGAAAATGTTGTATTTCACTAAAACTTTTTATTACAAAATTCTTATTGTTTTTATTCTTAAAGGTTATTTTCATTTTTAATTATGTCGATTGTTTTTTTTTTTTAACTGAATGTAGTTATGTTATTATGCTGGTCTCCCTTTGTCAAAATTGCAATTATGCGATTATGCTTTCCATTATTTTCTACATTAATAACCATTTTAATGGATTTTTAGCTATTGAACTTTGAAGAGCAATATTAAATATATACAATCTGATGTTATCCCAAACCCGACAAAATGTCAGCCATGCTGCTATGCTTCTCCTCCACAGAAATTTTACCCTTAAAGATTTTCCATTCAAACTTTAATATAAATTTTATGATTATATATTGGCATATATTTAAAAATTTTATTTCTGATCAGTAAAAGGGAAAAAAAGGAGAAGGGGGCTAACTGTGATGCCTGTGATTTAATTTAATTAATTGTAACAATAATAATAGAGTACTAACTATAATAATAAACAATAAAGGAAGATTATAGAGATTAGTTTCAAAATTTTAGTTATTTATGATACTTATTAAACAGATATCTTAATATTACTAATGATAGTAATAGCTTTAATTAACAATTATTATAATTTTATCAGGTTATTACCAAAGCATACTTATAAAATGTGATGCAGGAATTCGGAATAACGTAAACCTAAGAGTGAAATAAATTCCTCTTTTTTTTTTTTTTTTTTTTTTTTTTTTAATCAATAACCAATTACTAATCAACTATTCTTGTTTATTTATTTCAAAATTTGAATAAAATTCCTCGAATAAACTCAATTATATATATATATATATATATATTTTTAATTCTTTGGAGTAATTAGATGGTTATTAATACATTAATTTCCAAATAAACATTAGAAATGAAAATTACAAAATAATGAAATTAACTTCAAGCTGCGAGCAGATTACCGGATCTAGCGCTTTTGTTAATATTGATTGTTGTTCCTTTCAAATTTTCAAATGAGACAATAAAACTCTCTTTTTTTTTAGATTCTTGATTAAATTTGGGTCTTGGAGACCGGCTCCTCGCCGAATGGATGAAACTGACGTGTGGCATCACGACGTGCGTTTAGTTCGTGACAGCCACCCCAAACTTTATTCGAGGACTCGGTGGTATCAAGAATATCGCTGGGATGAACTTACCCAGCGATATCTATGTCGCGGATTCTGGGCTCCGGTGAGTGTAAAATGTTTCGTGCTTGGCTGAGTACATAGTAGAAACTAAATAAGTAAGGAAATTCCTTCTGCTTTCATCTAATCTGTTTACGTTCCTTTTTAGCGGGAGTTTGTGGGCCTCTCTGAAGTTACGGAAGGGCAAGCATTTACTAAAATGCTTCACGGAGCTTGGCGAGTAGGCGGGCGCAATATCTTCTGGTAAGGGCGTGGAAGTAGTTTGTCGTTTTGATCTTATGTAGTAAAAAAAACGAGTAAAGAAATTTCCCCCCCTTTTTTTTTTTAGCTCCAAGCGCGCACTTCCAGCAATACCTCCTTCTACGGGATTCCAGCCCTTTGAAAGAATGTTAAGGCTGACGTTCTTACAAGCTTTCTTTTGGGATGCCAAGGGGCTGGCTAGGGGATACAATCGATGGGCTTTGGTAAGTTTTTTTTTTTTTTTTTTTTTTTTTAGCTGTCAGGGCGTCTGACGCTGTTTATTCCTTTTTCTTAAATTTAACGAATTTAGTTTATATAATTCCCTCATGACTTATCCCCTTTTTTTTTTTAGTCCTTCAACATAGAAAACGAGGAGCAATGGCAAGAAGTGGGTCCGGAGGGCCTACTCAGAAAAGGGGAGTGGACCAGAGGGGGGGATGATTGATTATTGTTATTGAGGGGCTACCCAGGGTTATTTGCCCCCTTTTTTTTTTCACTTAAGTAATTAATTCCCTTTTGTTTCTGTGAAGAGTAAAAAGAAATAAATAAATAAATTAAATAAAATTTAACCGAATAAACAACGACAAAATTATTCATACCATCACCCAGCGGCACCGCGGACAGTCGTGTGAGCAGAAACCCGGAAACTGGTTGTTAGATCAGCTAATTGATTAATGGTTAACCTTATCAAGAATATGGATCTGTTTGATTATATTTAACGATAATATAGATAATCCTTACTTGGAACATATATATACTGTTGATAATTAAAGAAGGTAAAGTTAAAATTTAGTATATAGATTCTGTTATTTAACTTATTCATGGTAAATACTGCGGTTTATTAATTATTGAAATCATTTAATATGTTCTTAATTCCGCAATTCCCTGCACAACGACCCGGAGTAAGTACAAATTAAAATATGCTAAGAAGGCAAACGGCTACTGATTGTATAGTGAGAACCGTCGCTGACCAGGCACTGACCCAAAACTCCCATAGCTCATGGGTGAACGCTCACATGCCAGGGGCATGCGCGCGTTCACCATGTTGACTAAATGGTAGAAAGGAAGTTTCGGCGATTTTGAGGGCGGCCCAAGTGGCTGCATAGTCGGTAAGACCACGTAAGCCTCCCTCATGAAAATTCTTCTCTCTTTCTAATGAAAGAGGGATTAAGCCGGAACCCGTCCCAACGGTGCTGACGTCATCGACGCCTCTCACTACACTGTATTCAACTCTTTTAGGCTTAATATTATAAACAATTGTTAGTATAGCAAGAACTGTCGATGACCAGGCGCTGACCCAAAACTCCCGTAGCTCATGGGTAAATATTCATGTGCAGTAGGCACATGAACATTCACCGCGTTGACTAAACGGTAGAAAGGAAGTTTTAGCGATTTTGAGGGCAGCCCAAGTGGCTGCATAGTCGGTAAGACCACGTAAGCTTCCCTCATGAAAATTCTTCTCTTTTTCTAATGAAAGAGGGATTAAGCCGGAACCCGTCCCAACGGCGCTGACGTCATCGACACTTCTCACTATAATATAGAGCTTTTACAAGCGGAACCATTATAATTATAGTATTATTATTAACTGAAGGTTATTAGATTATATTAAAACTATTATTCCTTATTAAAATAAAAGATTTTTTTTTGTAAAATTATATCTAGAATAGCTATCGTGTGTTTTTTTTTAGATAGTGAAAATCTTAATTGAAATAACTAAAAATACATATAAATGTATATATATATATATATATTTTTTTTTTTAATTCGTGTATTTGCTTTGAATATTGCATTTATTGATTCAATTTAATTTAAAATTCAATTCAACTTAACACCAACCGCGTCTTGTATTGAAACTAACCTTCTTCTGACGATCTTCGAGGTTGTGCTTGGAATAATGAGCCCTTAGTGGTGGGGCGTCTGATAGTTGTGGAGAGCTTTCCTTTTTTCTTGGTGCTGTCTTCAGTGAGGTTGTGGCAGGTCCAGGATTCTGGTCCTTCAATCAGTCATCTGATCTTCCGTTGCTGGGGCTCTTCAATTGTTGCAGACTTTTTATCACTGTGATCAACGATCGAGAGGGTAGAAGTTGATGTCCGTGTAGCTACTGTTGGTTCCTTTTTGGCAGAGACTGGTCCTTTTGAAGATGAAGCAATGTCTGCGTACAGTGAGTCCGGAATTTCCTGTTGGCCAACTGTGTGTTTAGTTTTCCTTTGTGTCGATACTGGTAATTCGAAACCCTCGCCCTTCGCCTTGAAGCGAAGTCCTTGAATAAGGTTGTTGACTCCAGTTTTAAATGGTGTGCGACATATATACAGTAAGAAGGCCGTGCACAGTAGAATCAATCCTCCATATGATCCATATGTCAAAATTCGATGTTCCCCTTTTAGGTGGCGTTGAAGGGACAGTTCCTGCAGTTGCTGCTCTAGGTCATCTAAATTCTTGGAATTCGTCTCGAAGATGGAAAGTTTGGGTTCAATTCCAAGGCCGGATTCAAATTGGGGTTCTGATTTTTTTTGTAAAAGGTTATATTCTGCCAGTAGTGGTGACAGTTTGGTTAGATTTAAATGCAATTCTGATTCAAAGATGTATTCAGATTTTCCAGTTTGGGAGGTAGTGGCTGGTATAATAGTGTCCTTGGTTTTTAAAGAGCAACCAGGGCCTAGTTTTATAATACCGGTGTTATTTAGTCCTATCTTAAGTGGACTAAAGGAATGGCATACGATCGTAGCGATTTCTGGGGTGGCAAAAGAGAACATCCATCCGCCAATGGTAGTTAGCGGTCTCCAATAAGAATCTCGGTTGCTAGTGATCCTTATTTCGCAGGACCTTAAGGCTTCCAAGGTTGGCTTAATTAAGAGTGAAGCTTCGCAGGACACTCGTTGTTGGAAATCAAAAATAGGAACACCTTGCAAGCATGCGTGGAATGAGGTCGTCGTTTTGCAACGGTTCCATTCTCGTTCCTTTAGCAAAAGGTATGTCCTTTGATCCTCATCTATGATTAGATAATCATATTTTGAGCTTATATATGCTCTTCCTGTGCCATTCTCAAAATTTTCTTGGATGGTGGGGAGCGAATGTAGCTTAAAAGCCTGATAATTATATTTTTCCAGTAGAGGAATGTCAATAAGCACCTTAAGTTGGTGATTCTCGCAGAGAATTGTGACCGTAGAAATGCGCATGAGTTCGTCGATGCTGATCCTGGGTCCTGTTAATGGGAATTTGACATCCTTGAGATTGTCCTGGACTTCGCGAAGGATTGGTTCCAGTTGCGCGGAGGTAATGAGGCCTGGATGCAGGTTTCCTTTTCTGGCCTCATGAACTGCATCTAGCATGGTGGATGTAGCTTGGATGCTATGATCAAGTCCCAGTCTCAGGGCTCTTGCTATTGCGTAGGTCAGGTTTCTTCTTTCCATCTCAGCCTTTGACTTGGTGAGGCCTTTGTCGAGCAGCGTCTGGAGTTAGTTCCTGTAGATGTTGCAGCAGGGAACCGTGTCGCTGCACTTGGCTATGTAACGAGTCAAGTTGTGATCTGACGACATGGGTCTGTTTTCCAACAAGGTGCGATAGGTTGGCCTGGGCTTCGTTCAAGTTTTGAATAGCTGCATTATATTTTTCTCCATCGTCGTACGTCATCACGCCAATGATTGGTCCTGCGATTTTCCCTAGGAATCCGAGTAAAGGAACCGCTCGCCTTGTTCGCAATTGAGAGGTCATCTTTCTAGGTGAGGTTGTTTTAGTGTTTTCTAGTTCCTCGATTTGGACTCGGAACTGTTCCTGAAGTTCAGAGGCCATTTCCCATCTATCTTCCCATTGGTATGATTCCATTACATCTAGGCACCATTCTTCTTTAGGTTCGCATTGTGCTCCCAACTTCCTCAGGCGCTGCTTCAGGTCGTCGAAAAATCGGCACTGCTTTCCAACATCCAGGAAGACAGCAATTCTCCAATTGCTAACCGATCTCCTGACTTCCCCGATGTACTCGAAGTACATCCCGCTGCTGGATTGGAAAGGGGTGATCTGGTACTGGTCACTTCCTGTAGGTATATCCGGTCGACTTAGAACATCCCGTCCGTTTCCTGTAGATATGATCGAAAGGAGACATAGTAGGGTTACAACAGCGATTCTCATCATAGTGGGTCCTTGGGCTCTCTGCATCCCTAAAACAATATTAAAATTAGCGATTGAAATCATATGTGGGCAACCATGATTTTGTCCCTATGCTTCGCGAATCTCGTGCCGTTTTCACTTTCCAGGATCACATTGTTATTTTCAGTGAATCCTGCAACAGTGAAAGGACCATCGGCTCGTTTGTCGAATTTATTTGTTCAAACTTCTTTATATACATAGACTTGATCGCCTAGCTTGGCGATCAAAGGCTTAGATTTTCTGTCGTAGGTTTGTTTCGACCTTTCCTTTGCATGAACCAGATATTTGGCTGCAAGACCTTGTAGTTCATTCATTCGAGTAATGAGGTCCTTTAGATAAGAGCCATAAGTTTCAACCTCCGGACCATGAGGCAACGAACTTGGCGCTCTTGCCAAGTGGCCGAACACAAGCTCGTATGGTGTAAAATTCGTAGCCTCATGAACAGATGTATTATAATTGAACATGGCAAATGGAAGCAGACGATCCCAATCGTCGAAATCCTTCGCATAATGTTTGATATAATCCGTCAGTTCAATGTGGCTTCTTTCAAGTGCACCATTTGTTTGTGGTCGATATCCGGAGGTGGTGAGCTGTTTGACGCCAAAAATTTTTTCTAATTTACGCATCAATGAACTCACGAAACTCGCTCCTCTGTCAGTCAGCACGCATCGTGGTGCTCCGAAGACAGAAAAAAGGTTAGTTGCCACTGCGTGGGCAATTGTTTTAGTCTCGATATTTGGGATTGGGACAGCAATACAATATTTGGAAAAATTATCCTGCATCGTGAGGATGTGACGATTTCCATTCGGGGTTGTTTGTAGTTTCCCAACCGTATCCAGCGAAACTTTATCAAAAGGCATTGCTGGAGTGTCGGTAATTAACATCGGCTCCCTAGTTCGTGCCCTTACTAATTTGTTCTCGAAGCAACTCTTACATCCGCGTATGTATTGTGTAACTTCGTCGCGCATTCGCGGCCAGTAGTATCGTTCCCGAATTCTACGGTACGTTTTGGAAATTCCTTTATGTCCACCGATTAGACTGGAATGGAACTCGGCAATGATGTCATTGCGCAAATTTACAGGAGGAACTTCTATTCTTCCGTGGCAGAGGGTGATAGTAATGTCGCCACCGCGGAAAATTCCTGTAACGAGTTCAGCCATTTTTCCTTGGGGAATTGCACCTAACAAATCTACAGTATTCGCTATTCTACAAGAATTTTGACCATTTGTTTCTAAAATTTTCCTTAAATTTGTAAGTCCCCTAATCACATCATCCCAACTAATGTCGTCGAAATGATACCTCTTTACTACAATCGAATAAACTCGATATTTTCCGTTACGGGTAATATAAATTTGTCCTTTCACGGGTTTGCTATCCCTAATCTCTCGGAGGTCAATCTTTTCCGTCGCAATTAGTAGTTTGGCGATCGGACTAGTAGGTTCGCAATCTTCAGAAATGAAATGTGCGTAATTGTCACGTCTGTAGGTCAAAGGTTCGGTCCACTGATTTTGGATAAATTCAAAAGGCTTATTATTTTGTGGCGAGGGTTCTTGGGGTACACCATCACTATCATTTTCACTTCCGATTTCACTGTCATCATCACTTCCTGATTGCGAAAGGGGAGGATCAATATAGGGTTCTTTAATGTCTAAGAGTGAGTTGCCCGATAGTACATTATTCGATCGCTCCTTATCGGTTATTTCCTGAATTCGTCTTGGTTTCGAGTTTGCTTTTCTATTGATTAAAGCTTCTTTAGAGGTGTCGAAGTTACTCTTAAATCGAGTGAAGGGGGTTGATTGTGCAAAAGGGGCTGTTGGAGTTCCTGAAAGTGATAGGTTTGATGCTTTTGATTGTTCATCCTTCGCAGCTTTGAAGACTTCTGGTATTTCTTTGAATCTAACGATGCTCTTTCTTTTGGGTCCTGGCGGGCAGGTGGTCAATGGAGTTTCTTGGGAATAGGCAGGGGTGTCAGTGGCTGGTCGATATTCGATAGGATCGTCGGTTTTTCTTCCGGATTGATCCTCAGCTCGGCTCTGGTTGTATTTATCCAGAAATTCCTTTACTCTCCTTGAAAGTCCATCGTCATATTCATCAACAGGATCCTGGGTCCTCAAGTAGTCCAAATGCTCTTGATCATCCTCACCATCGGAGACACACTGTCTTCTGGAAGCGTGGTCCAATCCTTCATAATCCCAGAATAGGGTGTTGTTCGTGAGATTAGAGACACCTGCTCCTGCGTCTGTGAAGGAGTTGAATTTATTAATGGATTCATTCACTCCTTGGATAAGATGTTGAGTTTCGGTAATAGGATCCTCCTGATTACTTGATTCACTGCTGCTGTTGCTGATCCTTCGTTGCCCTTTGATGATTACTTGGTCGGGAGGTAGTTCTTCTGATTCTGACTCCGAAGATGATGATGA